ATCTCTCATCCTTCGAACATACTGTTAAAGTGGACCAGTCACTGGACAATGATATTTTGCTTGGTAAAGTGGAAGGTCAGGGTAAAAGAGGAATACCCCATGAGATGGATTGGCATGGTGGCAGTAGCAATGGGCTTAAATGTAGCAAAGACTGTGAGGTTGGCCCAAAGTACTTAATTGCTCCAAGCTTCAGTTTCTTCATCAGAAAACTGTGAAAGACACCAATCATATTTGGTGACTGCAAGGTGTCTTGTATAGAGAAATCCCCTTAGGTAGTTAATGGGCCCTTGCTCGTTAATTGATACACTTGTCGCAGGAAAAGTCTGGACTTACTGCCAACCATTACTTTTACAGACTTGCTTGTTTTACAGCTATATAGACAGGTGTTTGAGAATATAAGAAATTAAAGTAGAAATAGGAAAGCTTTTTAGTCCATTTTGCTAATTAATATGTCAGAGCTCATAAAGAAGAACTCATCGGCTTTCTTCAGCACTGCATCATCTGAAAGAGCTGGGTCAGCAAAGATCTCTGCAGACAGTCAATACATATTAAAGCAGTTCCAAGCAGTAAATCAAAACAACAAAAAATGAAGACATGGTGGGGGAATAAAGGTAAAATTTGTAAGTCTTTTTCTATCTGAATGCAAAGTAGCATTAAATTACTGGTTTCAGAATTAGTTCAGGGTCTAGAAAAAGGTAAGAAAATACTCCTCTGGCATATTTGATGACATTTGTTGATGGAAAGTGCTGCCAAGTCACTTCCATCTCACAGTGACCCTGCATACGGTTTCTGAGGAGTAGCTGGTGGGTTTGAAGTGCTGGTCTTATGGTTCTCAGACCAGTGCTGATGCTACAGTACCATACCAGGAGTCAAAATTAAAGCATAACTTTGTTATTGTTTAGTGTCCTCAAGTCAGTTCTGGCCCCTAGCAACCCTGTATAGGAGGGGTCAGTGAGCTTGAACTGCTGACCTGGAACTCCAAACCAACTTTGCAGTTCAGCACATTAACCCACAGTATCACACCAGGACTCCAAAAGAGGCACATGGAAAACGTGATGTAATTTTGCTGGAGTCTAATTCTTTCAGAATATTTGAGTCCTTTTAAACAGTACCTTTATTGTTTAAAACATAAATTCTGTTGTTTTCTTTCCTGCAATGCTAGGATT